AAGAGATTCGCCAGTGGGTGATTAATGTCTTCCGATGTAGCCTTCTTCTTCTTCTCCTTCTTCTTCTTCTTCTTCTTCTTGCTTCTCCTTTCTTTTACTTTCTTCTTCTTCTTCTTCTTCTTCTTTGGACCTCACGCGTACAGTCGGCTATTCACGTCACATACGTGTACCATGCATGCTTGCGCGCGAGCTGCGAGTCACGTTGTGACGTTGAGGCTCCGACTCGATGCTCGGTACGAATAAAGGACATCTCATCTGACGTTCTCTCTCGCGGTTACAAGTTCCCTGGAGACGAAAAGAAAAGACGCCGGTTTTGACCCGATCGCTACACGAATATTCGCGACGGCCGACACCTTCGATCGAGTATCTGCCAGGAATATTTAGATGATTGAATTTCGCTTGGACTTTCTTCCCGTGTATTTCTAAATTTCTTAACCGTCCAAGTCCCGAAGCTTTTAATTTCTAAGTTCGTAGATTCCTAAATTCTGTTTCTACTACCTCTATTTTGGATACTACAGATACAGAGAAATTACCCGAAACTAACCAAAGCCGAAAGCGAGCAACCGTAAACAAGAAATTTGAAGAAAGGGGGCACGCGAAATGGAGCAGAAGAGATTGTACGAGAGAATTATCGTCGGCCCACCGGCGAATGTTTAGGAAATCGTTCGAAAACGCAGAAACCGTAGATTACCCCCGGGATTGGATTCGCGTCTTCGAATCTTTCTGCAGGAGGGCGTAGGCATTCCCATTTAAGTGCCATTAAGCCAGAAACAGATAAGCTCGGTGATTAAAGCCGGGCGACCGATTCCCTGTCGCGGTACATTGGCCACACTGAATTAAGAGAACCGGAATTTCGACGCTGGCATCGCTAATAGAGCGATTTCTGCCTCGCTTCTTTGTCCATTTTCTTTCTTCTCTTTTGACTCCCTCTCTCTCTCTCTCTTGTCTGAGAAACGACGCGATGGAAGGAGAATAAACGCCGGCGAATATTTATTAATTTAAAAGACATCGGCCTTGTGCTTGAAAAACACCGACACACGAGGGTGGACAAAAAGAGAGGGAATCACAGCCAGCTGCCTTACGAGGCGAATTCCTTCGACTATCGTTTGGAACACTGGCAGTGTTCTTTTGCTCGTGACTCAACAAGCCACGCGCACGTCTGCCTTTTGAATTCCCACAACCTGGAAATATAGGACTCGACGGTACGATTTGACTTTGAATGTTTCATAAAGAAACTTGACGAAAGATGAGGCAAAAATTTCCATGATAAAAAGAGAGTATGTAATGAAGAAAAGAAAACTAATTTTTCTAGAAATTCGAAAAAGGAAAGGAAGGGAAAGGGTTGTCGTTGTAAAAAGTGCTCTGCACTCAATAAACTCAACTCTATACGACCTGCCGTCGTCAGAAACAATAATTCAAGAGTAAAATAATTTATCACACCTAGTGGTTTTATGTTTTATGTCTGCAAGGATATCGAAGCTCGCGATCTGTGGCTGCGCGAGAATCGTACGCAATGGAACGAGCGGATCGGACGTTATAAGGTGGGGGGGACTATGAATTCTCTATCGTGCAGAGGTCGGATAGTCAGCCGACTTAATCCCCCGTTGACTTATAGGGCCCGCCTATGTGGAAGAACAAATGAATAAATTAGGGCGGGGTCGTTTGGTAGCCGATGTACGGCCCTGAAGATTTATTGATACCCAATACCAGTTCCTCTGGTCTGGTTGCACACCGCTGCTTCTGCACCGACTCGCCGACTTTCGTCCCGATCTTTCGGAAAAGGAAAAGGGTGGCGCCACTATTTATGCTAATCGCGCCCCCGAATGTTTATCGGTGCTGCGAGTTCACCTTTTGCACTTTGCTGCCGTTCGGCTGGGTAATTGAGATAAAATCTACACAGACACGGAAACTAACTCCGACCGGAGTGGAGAAGAATTCAATGATCGATAGTACTTGAACAAAAACAAAAAAAAGAGAGAAGAATTGGAAAAATTAAATAACAATATCTCGGAAGAAGAGTCGAATTTCAAGGGGTTGAAGAAACTGTACAGAATGATAACAAGGCCCTCGCTTCTAGGCGTGCCTCGTGCACCATCACCGTAGCCAATAATACCCAAAAATATCCCGGACGCGAGAGTGACGATGCAATTCGTGAACCGACTAATCCTTCTGTAGCTTACCATATTTTTCCATACAATAACCAACCTTTCGTTCGATCCACGATCCTTCCTTTTCACTCATACTCACTTCCAGACGTGTATGTATGTATGCATACGTATGATGCATGCTTGTGAATCGCGATCGTGAATATGAATTCTCATTGGAAAGAATATCGTTTCTAGGAGGATCGTTGTGCCTCTTAGAGACAACAGGCGCGGTCGGTCGGCTAAAATTCAAAGGGTTCGAGTCATTTGTAGGGCGAGGGAAGCCGCGGGAAGACTGAGACGTCCAGATAATCTGAACGTAATCTAGCGGGCGAATCGCGAGAGGTCGAGCTCCGCGGACGCGCTCCAAGGGACACGCAGTGGCCGAGTAGTATGTTAATGAGGACAGGACCATCGGATTCTCGTACACGGAGGTCCTGAATGAACCTGCAGCTCCGACCAAAATAGCACCTTCATCTCCTCCTTCTCTTTAAATTCTTGCCTTCCGCGAGGCTTTAAAAGATTGCTTTCTTTCCTTTAAATCGTCGAGTGTTGTCCACGAGAATATTATTATATTGTTAAATTTCATCAACTAAATGCAATTTTAAATATTACGATAAAACTCGGTTGGCATTCGACCGATGAAACCCAGAGAGAATTTCAATAACGTAACATCTTTATTCTTTCTCTCTTTCTCTCTCTCTCTCTCTCTCTCTCTCTCTCTCTCTCTCTC